ATCTATGGTCATAACACACAAAAACTTGTTTTCCATCCACAGATCTGGCGAGGTCACAGGTCGTGCGACAAGATGGGTTTAGAGGTTGCAGCGTACAAGGTGGCGGCGATAACACCCGTCATCCGGTACTCGATGTCCAACCCGCCAGCTTAATTGGCACTGGCACAGGTAAGGAAGGAAGCCAAGAAAATGGAAAAGAGAATTGGTGCCAGTACACACCCTTGTTTTACCCCTGTTTGGGTAGGGAACAACTCAGACTGGGTGCCATTGTGCAGGACAATTGCCGTTCATGCCATCGTGGAGTAGCCTCACAATGACGATGAATTTTGGTGGGCAGGCAAAACAGCTGAGGGTTTGCCAGAGGGCTTCCCTGTTGACCGAGTCGAAATCCTTGGTTAGGTCGATGAAAGCCATGTAAAGGTCACGACGCTGTTCTCTGCACTTTTTCTGTATCTGACGGGCAGCAAAGATCATGTCAGCGGCGACACGTGATGGTCTAAGGCTACATTGAGATTTTGGGGGGTGGTTTTCCGCCTCAGGAAGAAGTCTGTTTAAGAGGACTCGGGCGATAATCTTGCCAGCTACGGACAGCAGCTAGATCCCACAGTAGTTGCCACAGTCTGACGGGTCTCCCTTGTTCTTATAAATATTGACTATGGAGACATTTTTAAGAGCTTGGGGGATTTCCTTCTTTTCCCATATATTCTCCAGGAGAGAGTGGAGACTGCTGGTAAGCAAAAGTCCTCCTGCTTTATGCACCTCGGCTGGGATTCCATCAGGCCCTGAGGCTTTGTTTTTCATGTTTCATGGCAGTAGCTACCTCATCCAGTGAAGGAGGATAGCTGAGGTGGGTCACTTCTGGATGCTGAGGGATCAGCTGGGTAGTTAGGAAATCCGCATCGGTGTTTCGGTTGAGCAGTGAATGGTAGTGTTCTTTTCAGAGCTGAAGGAGGCCTTCGTGTCTTTAATTATGGAGTTACCATCGGCTGAGCGGACGGGGACTGCGCCATGAGTGATTGGCCCATAAAATGTTTTAGTGGAATTGAAAAATTCGTGCATCTTGTGCTGATCTGAAATTTTTTGTGTTTCACATGCTTTATTTTTAAACCAGTCATTCTTTAGAGTGAAGTTCCCACTGGGCTGCCGCTTTCTTCTTGCAGAAGGTATCAGCTTTGGTCCAACACTGAGGGTTGTTCTGCCAGTCAGTTAAAGCAGCACGTTCATCATCGACGAAAATGACCCGGGAATAAATGTACACACACATACACACTACCCAACAACGTCAGCTAGAGAAGTTGCAGAAGAGGGCCTGCAGAATCATGCTCGGCGCAGACTACTCCGGCTACAACAACGCTCTCTCCACCCTGGTAATGCCATCCCTCAGTGACCTCCACCACCACGCACTAACAGGGTTTGGCAGTGGACTACTGCACTAGGGTGTGTCATACGGAGGCGAATTTTTTTTTTGAGTTTGAAAAATCGGCCCATGGTATTAATGATGTAGTTCTATGTGCAGAATCATGTGATATCTTCAGATTTGAAAAGTTTTTATTTTTTGCTAGGTAAATTTTAACTTGAAATCTTATGAAAATTCAGTATTCCCACCCTTTTACCAACACCACTAAATAGCTTATTTAAAGTAAAGTAAATATATCAGGTTAATTTATTAGGATGAAAATGATCCAGAATAGTGAAACGAATAATCTTGACACATTTATTAAATTTAATATTCCTTTAGAAAACAAAATCATCAAATACAAAAACCGGTTTTACTACTACGACCCGGTGTTGCTGCACACCATAGAGAACATGTCTTTCTTGCTTCTGTTTCTACTCATCACCTTCCTGCTGACCACCTGAGCTCGGATGTAGCCTTCCCTCCTCTCCTGGCTGTACACGTGACTGCTGGCCTCGCTCACTTGCTGTACACAACGCTCTATACTCTGGGTGTGCGAGGGCCAGGCAGGGACATGCATGGGGTTGT